AACGCGATTTGATGCCTGGGTTGTCCGCAGGACAACAGCATTTTTTTTCTTATTTCGAGCACTGGGGTGTGATTTTTTAATGGAGCTCTCCATCATGCCTCTTAAGGGTGTGATTATGGAGCGTGAAAAGTCCCCCTATGGTGTTCTAGGGGAGTCATTAGTAGTCCTCCTGTACTTTTCAAATCTGAAAGCCTGGTAACTAGTAGTCGTACTCGACGTCAAGACGCAAGTGTCGCGTTTCCTGCAACTCGGTTGAAGTATTTACCGGATGACGTCATGACGTCACGGTTAGGTGGGCATGCGCAGAACACGCAGCGCCGACCTATTTACCGGCCGAGAAATTTACCGGGACACCGGCTGTCGGGCATATAGCCACTCTGTACTATTTAGTAACTATTAGTAGGCCCTATTAATAGTATTATTAGTATTACTATAGTAGTACTAGTAGTATTTAGTATTATTAGTACTAGTATTTAGTAATAGTATTATTAGTACTACTAGGTTTTATTGGGATACATGTTCTCTATCCTTGAACCAGTATTATTAGTACTAGCTCTGATCCAGTTCAGACCTTGCTTAGCTTACATTAATAAATTGTGCCCTAGAAATTTTTATAATCTAACGATTACTAGCGACAGTCTCTGATTATTAAATAATAAATCATTAAATGAACAATTTATTGCCATATTATATTGATCAATACTGTAGACAATAATACAGTTACAGTAGGCCTATACTCTATAGCCTAGGTGAGTAGGTCACAGTAGGTGAGTTTACCTGCTTCGGCTTTCTCAGCTCTTGCAATGTAGGATGCTAGACGTTCGTCCATGACACTTCGTTGGAGTTACAAAACGTTTGTTTATGTGTTACCAGTGAACAGACACACACACTCATAAACTTTCAACAGTGAAACTCTAGTGGAATGATGCAATACTGTGAATACACGTGGCTGACGTGTTCATTCAATGAAACCATTAGCGATTGTACGTTTTTGCGTCGGCCGATAGAGGACGCCACGATGTGAGATTGAGAATAGTCTTGTGTTGTTGGGAAGGAAAACAACTACAGTACAAATATTTTCATTCACGTTGACGTAACTTTCTAACTACCAATAAATGTTGATTATGTTATAATTTTGTTTGTATCTATCGGTTAACTGCAATTTCATTCCCGATAGCGGTAAAATATATAACTGGTTCCCTACCTTGAGACTGAGCGATGAGTTTGCGAGGGAGTAGGTCTAGTTTATCTTCACGACACACTGGCAGGTAAGAGACTGCCATATAGATAGACAATTGATTAGTCAAATAGTAGTGAAACATTTGTACAGAGTTTGATGTGAATCGGAGGCTGAAGTATGCAAGCCTTCTATATACGTACAATACATATACTGTAGATAATATATATGATAAGTACAGACAGTACACCTACTACTGTGACCTACTGACCTAGGTCCTAGTGCCGTAGTGGCAGTAGTGCATAGGCCTATGAATATGATTCACGTATGATTGCAGCGAGAACCAGTCCAAGTTCATCCAGGACCGCGTGGCGGGGGCGGAGCGACACCTCGGCGAGCTGTGCCAGGAGATCGGCGCGTACGCTCGCAAGACGGCGCACCTCCGCGACAAGGGAGACGAGATCGCCGCTACGTTGTTCGCTTACGCTGAGAGCGAGCACTACAACCAGACGCTGCGGGAGGCGAGCGTACAGTTTGCCGAGGGACTGGCCGCCGTGCAGGATTACAGGCAGGCCGAGGTACTAACACGCATTCATACACAGGCTGATTTAGTTTATCTGTTTTATCTGTTTGAGTTTATTACATGCACTCCAATGATATTCCTAACCCTAACCCTAATCCTAACCCTAACCCTAACCCTAACCCTAACCCTAACCCTAACCCCAACCCTAACCCTAAACTCTAACCATGAGCTTAATCCTAACTCCAACCCTATCCTAAACCTCTGATCGCATATAATCCTGATGTACCTCTAACTCGTTTTTTTTCGCTACAGATTGACAGACTAGAAGCGAAGGTTTTACAACCGTTTGCTCAGTTCGGTGGCACCGTGAAACACATTAAGGTACGACACCGTCACCACACACAATCTCACCTCTATGTCATTATTATTATTATTGTAAAATCTTTATTGCATATAATTCAATAATATTACAAGTACATGTACTGAAAACTATCTTTCACATGGAGAAAAAATCTAATGCAATGGTGTTAAGCGATTAAAATAGTGGTAGGAAACACTCGAGGGAAACACTCCTAAAAGTCTCATAATTTTTATTATGTAAACAGGTGTCCTTAAATTGACTACGTCACGAATTTTTTATGGTAAAATGTGTAAAAAAATGTTGTTGCCATTTTTGTACATTAAAAGTAAGAACTAACGGGAATAAACGTATTGTCAAATTCTTACCTGATAAGATTGTTTCTCAACTAGTTAAAAATCCAAAAAACCTGGACGATTTGATATTATG